TATGACTAAAGTTCTGTCTAAGTATAAATTGAATATTAAGAGTAAACTTGATTTGTTCATAAAAACTCAAAGTAAAAGTGTGAAGATTGAGTTTTTCATGGAACAAAGAGTTAATTTTATTTTCTTCAAACTTTATGTTTACTGTTTTTTTCTTTTATTAACAGCTTTTGATAACAACTGTTAAATAGGAATGGAGCTCCATGTTTTTGTTCAGCTCCATATTTTTCTGTTTAAATTATGATATGTATCATAGTTGGTAAGATTAGTTGAAATCTACAAATTTTTTATTCCATTTTGTATATATATATGTATGAAATTAATGAAAAATGTATGTTAAACAAACACTTTCTCTACAGCAGAAAACTCTTATTTTTTTGCAATTTTTCCTCTGCGCTTCCTTTCATATTCTTCTATTTTTCAAGAATTTAATTAAGTAATATTTTTAACAGAGGCAAGCAAGCATGCCATTCAGAAAGTTGTTTCATTTGTGAGTTGCATTTAGTTAGTGCTCTTGCTATAACTGGCTTGAGTTGCTAGTGAACCAAATTAAGTTGTCAAGTTTGCTGATCACTCGGATGACACTTTTCTTGTGTTTGAGATTTATACAAGTTTCTGGTTACCTGGAATGTAGAAGACAGATAGGTAATTAACTCCCGTAACTATGATATGAGATTGATGTTTTTTTTTATATTTCGTTTTCTTTCCCTTGGAACGTAAGATGTTTTCTTGTTCGTATATTGATCATTCACAGTCAAGTAATGCTGCTTATGTAGTGCGTTTTACTCTTTGTTAATTTCTATAAGCCACAAGAGAACGGTAGTCATGCCCAATTATTTTTTTACTAATGATTTAAACATGCTCCTTTTAATTTTGAAATTATATAATTTATAAATTGATAATATTTGCATATAAATTCTAAAATTTTTATTTTATGCAATTGAATCTCTTAAGCAAGAAAAATCGTGACGGATATATGTAAATCTATTGAACATAAGAAGATTTTATTGAGTGTGGTAATTTTATTTTTTTTCTTATTGCAAGTTGCTCGTATAGTTGTAAACAATTACGGATCTTGAGAAACTAGCATCTAACAAATTCACTTGAGCATAACCTTCATAGAATCCACAATATTTGCTGTAATATCTTATGTTGTAGCAGATGTTGTCTGTTGGTGGTGAAAATGGTGAAGCCTTGGTTCCAGTTCTTAAACTGTGGTCTGTCTGCGCAGTAATGTAGAGATTGAAGGGGATGAATTGGCCAATCTTTTCAAGAATGTAAAGGTTTAGCTAGCATGCCACCTTTTAAATTCTAAATTTTCTATAAAAACTGAAGTTTGACTTTTCTGCATCTAAAGGCTCAACCATAAAAAAAATAAGACAAGAAAGAAATGTAGTTAAACCTATTTTCTAGTTCAATTCTTGTGAAGTACTTTAGTAATGAAAAAATAAAAATGTATTTTTTTAAAATGTAATATAATATATATATATATATCAAACTTGTAAAAAGTAAGAATATTTTGATTCTATAATATGAAAGAAAATAAAGATAGATGACCTTTTTTAAATTAAGAAAAATTCGAAGTGAAAAAGTACCTTTTTTTTATAAAAAAAATGTAAAAAAGTAAGTAATTTTGTGAAAAAGAACGTACTGGGGCTTGGTTGTTCCTGCTCATTACTCTCCTGGTTGGCGGTGTCTCTGATGGCACGTGTTGGCACTTGCGAGAGGCTCAAAGGCATTGTTCGTGTCATCTCATTGGCACAGCAGATCGGGGAAGAAAGAAACCTATAAATATATTTGTCCTAAAGCTCTCAGTATATTCTTTTCACTTCGCAAAACAACAATTGCTAACCAGTGTCAGGTCTGATCACCTTCTCTTTTCCTCTCTTCTGTGACTTTTTTTTTTTTTCGTTGGTCTGTAGCATCTCAGAACATTCATTTCTTTTCTTGTTTCCCTCTTTGCATCTTCCCTTTGTTTCATCTCTTTTTAAATCCAAGCAAATTCTTCGGAGCTTTGTTCGGTTGCGCAGGAACAATCGTAATGTTTGCCGTTGGTTTGTGGTTAAAACTAAAACGTGGATTCTTGTCGGTGGCTTGCACGGATTATTGACACCCACTTTCGTGTTTCCTAAATGAGATCAGGGAAGCAAGGGTTCCAGTGTATTTGATTTCGGTTTATCATCGAATAGTAGGTGTGCGTTAAGGAGCAACAAAACACAAAAGAAGGGTAAAAATTTGCCGACTTGTTTATTGAACTGGAAATTGGGAATGAAAATGCGAGAGTGATTTGATTAGTTTTCTGCTTTTAAGTTAATGATTGGGATTAGTTCTCTGGTAATGTTGAGGGGAATGTTAGCACAGAAACCAAAATTGTAGAATTGTGCTTATGGAATTCTGGGATTGCTTGGTAAAAGCTATATACACATATATGTGTGTAGGTATGTATATCCTTGTGCTTCATTTGATGATCTAGGATTGCTGAAATGCACAGGAACTGTAGAAGGGCGTGAGAAGCAATTGGGTTTTTTTGCTCATGATCCGACTCTTCTGGTAAAAAATGATTTATTCCCTGTACTGCTGAAAGACAAAAAAAGAATTGGTAATGCTGGCTGCACCGTGGGTTTTGATGAAATTGAATCATGAAATTATAGAATTTTTGAAGTCTTTGAATAATTTCTTGTGTAGCCTAATATTTTTCTCAACAAATTTATTAAATGGGCCTTCCATTGTGACAGTATCGCTCTATGTCTTAGACTAATTGGAAGAGAATAATAATGTCGGGAGAACTGCTGTTTTAGTCCTATTGTTTAGAAACATTCTACTAGATATGTCATACTCTTTTTTTTCTCCTTTTTGGTGGGAGTTATACGTTTTGACTCAATTGCAGAATGCATGAGAACCTGGGATTTCAATCTGGAGGCCCAAGACCAGCATTAAACACTCAATCCAGTCCATTTGGAAATCCATTTTCTGGAGCTGGATCTGGATTCATTCGAGGGGGATTGGGTGCCTATGGAGGGAAAATTCTTGGATCAGGAACTGAGTATGTACAAAGCAATGTAAGTTTCAGGTGAAGCTTAGACAATTTGCAGCGTCAATATTAGACTTGAAATATTTGGTCTTTGAGGGTCTTGAATACTTCTCCTAGATATAATGTTAGTCAATGGTACCAACTACAATGTGCTCAAAATCGAAAGAGAAAAGTGATAAGCTTTATACGGATTGCCCACCAACTGGATTAGGATTAGTTAAATTTTCATTACTGTCCCTGTTTTCTAACTATTGAAAGAAACCCATGTATTCATAAGGCCAGATTTGTGAAAGCTTCATATACATGTAAAAAAATGTTTCTTCTCTAACGAGAACTTAAAGGGTTTCTGAACAACAATTTTTCAATGAACAGATAAGCAAGTACTTCTCCGATCCTCAATACTACTTCCAAGTGAACGACCATTATGTTAGAAACAAACTGAAGATTGTTCTATTTCCATTTTTTCACAGAGTAAGTTCAGTTTTTAATCTCAATCTTCTTATGAGTCCCTCAATCTGAAACGACAAGCAATGGGTAAACAATGAATTAGGTTTCATATTTCTCTTGCTTTCTTAGGGGCACTGGACAAGGATAACAGAACCAGTTGGAGGCAGGCTTTCCTATAGACCTCCAATTAATGACATCAATGCTCCTGATTTATACATTCCATTCATGGCATTTGCCACCTACTTAGTTCTTGCTGGCATCTCGTTGGGCCTCTCTGGGAAGTAAGCCTTGGGTGGTCGACATTGTGATTATTTAATTAAAATTTTCTATCTTAAATTATCCCGTGCCTTTAGTAATCAAACACATGGTATCTTATTTCAATCAGGTTTAGCCCAGAAGCTTTAAATTGGCAATTTGTTAAAGGAATGGTTGGCTGGTTTCTCCAAGTGATGCTTCTGAAGTTCTCTATACTGTCACTTGGGGGTGGAGAGGCACCTCTTTTGGATACAGTGGCATATGCTGGATATACTTTCACGGGAATGTGTATGGCGGTGCTTGGAAGAATCACGCTAAGCTACGCCTATTACTTGATAGTTGTATGGACATGTTTGTGCATGGGCATCTTCTTGGTGAAGACTATGAAGCGAACTCTGTTTGCTGAGGTTAGGAGTTACCACTCGAGCAAGAATAACTATTTGTTGGTCGGATTTGCGTTTGCCCAGTTTCCGTTGATATTCTGGCTCAGCAACACTCCTGCAAACTGATGGACTTGTGCTCTCATCTATCTGGAGTAGGATACATGAGTTATTTCTTTTCTAGTTGACTTTACAAAAATTCTTTTTCTTCAAATAGCTTTGGTTTGAATTACTGTATTCCCTGAAATTGGTGGAAAATTGGACTCAAATTAACTTTAAAAAAGTTTTAAAATTTTTTTGTGTTGCTGCAGAAGCAGATGTTGATAACCAAAATGATTCATTGTATTCTTTATTAGTTTGTTCCGAGAGTTGGTTTAATGGAAATTTGTAGATTTTTTAATCTTTTTTTTTTTTTTTTTGTGGAAGTATAATTTAGTAATGCTTTTTCCATTTTAAGATTTAATCTAATATATTGCTATTAGTTTAGACATAATATATAAATAATCTGTATTTTAAGAAAATGTAACAAGTGAATGATTAAAAAAGGATAGATAATAAAAATTAAAAAAAAAAAAACCTTGGGAAATGAAGTTCGTGCTACCATCTTTAGGTTCGGTTACGGGAGAAGACAGAGAAGTGGAATATAAACTGGTACGCCAATGAGCTACGCGTCAGTGTCCTTTGTAGGACACTCCAACACACTTATAAATTCAAATCGTAAGAAACGGCTATGAACAAGACCCTTTCGTCATCTTCGAGCTTATTCGCCTCTCCTCAAATTTCAACTCCGTTGACTACGCCTTCAAGATCTTTCAATTTAACAATAACCCAAATATCTATCTTTACACTGCTATGATCGACGGATTTGTGTTGTCTGGTTTTTACACTGATGGGATTCGTTTATACTGTCAAATGATCAATGAATCACTCGTACCAGATGAATATGCGATTACCTCGGTTTTAAAAGCCCGTGGGCGTCAGTTAGCTCTGAAGGAGAGTAGAGAAATTCATGGCCGGGTTTTGAAACTAGGGTTAGGCTCAAATCGATCAATAAGGATGAAACTCTTGGAGGCTTACGGCATGTGCGGAGAGTTCAAAGCTGCACGGAAGTTGTTCGACGAAATGCCTGAGGATGATGTAGTTGCATCAACAGTCATGATAACTTCCTATTGTGAACATGGATTTGTCGAGGAGGCAACTGGTATCTTCAATCGGGTTCGGGTCAAGGATATGGTTTGCTGGACTGAAATGATTGATGGATTGGTTAAGAATGGAGAAACGAACAGGGCATTGAATCTGTTCAGGCGAATGCAAAAAGAAAACGCCAGTTCTAATGAAGTCACTATCGTCTGTGTTTTATCTGCGTGCTCGCATTTGGGTGCTTTGGAGCTTGGACGGTGGATTCATTCGTATATAGGGAAGCATGAGATTGAGCTCAGTCATTTTGTCGGCGGTGCTTTGATCAACATGTTTTCGAGCTGCGGTGATATTGTTGAGGCTCAACGAATCTTTCTGAGAGATGACAAAAAAAGATGTCACTACCTATAACACAATAATCTCAGGGCTTGCAATGAATGGTAAGTGTACTGAAGCTATTGAGGTATTCCAAGACCTGGTGAGGCAAGGACTTAAACCAACAAATATCACTTTTGTGGGTGTATTAAATGCTTGTAGTCATGGAGGTTTGGTGGATTTGGGGTTTGAGATCTTCAATTCTATGGCGAGGGATTATGGTATTGAACCTCAGGTAGAGCACTACGGATGTATGGTTGATCTCTTAGGTCGTGTGGGATGCTTCGAAGAGGCGTATCATTTTATTAGAAACATGAAGATACAACCAGACCATATCATGTTAGGAGCTCTGCTTAGTGCTTGTCAAATCCATGGGAACCTTGAGCTCGGAGAAGTAAATAGCAGAAAAACTGCTCCTTTGTGGGAATGCAGATTCATCAACATATATTCTACTAGCAAATGTCTATGCTTCATCGGGGAAATGGAAAGATGCAGCTCAAGTAAGAGCAAAAATGAGGGAGAGTGGGATCCAGAAAAAACCAGGGTGCAGCTCCATTGAAGTAAATAACCAAATCCATGAGTTTCTTTTGGGAGATCGGAGGCACCCACAAAGAGAAGCTATCTACAGAAAGCTGGAGGAGTTGAACCAGGTACGACAACTTGAAGGATATACACCCGACAATGGAGGTGGTTTTGCATGACATTGAAAATACAGATAAAGAGTGAAGCTTAGCATTATACAACACGAGGCTTGCCATATATTATCATTTGATCTCAATTAAAATAGATACGGAGATAAGGGTTGTGAATAATTTAGTTTGCAGTGACTGTCATTCGGTAATAAAGCTTGTTTTTGAGGATTTCCAGGAGAAGATAATGGTAAGGGATTGGAATAGGTTTCAGAATTTGGAAAGTTGTGTAGATATTGTTGGTAAAATTAAGTCCGTATATATGATGTAAATGTGTAACTAACTAGAGCCCCTTCTTCTCCTTAGCAGAATCACTTCACCGCCTCTCAAAGTTTGATGTACGTAGGTAAGAAGAACTAATTCACCATTTTTCTTGAATCTTTGAATGAGAAGAGATAAATGAATGTTGAAGTTTCTTGAATCTCATTTGGGTCATATATGTACATATATTCTTAAATGAGAATCGAGGATTCTAAAAATCATTTCAATTTTAATATTTACTTGGCTAGTATTCAATTGAACTGCTTGATTACAGAGAAATTATTACATGAATCTAACAATTTAATCGAAATCCATGCAACAAATTTTGTTAGCTTCAGTTGCCTAAGAGCATGTATGTAATTAATAGAGTTCATATGAATTGAAGACAGCAGGGTGTGTGTTCCCTTTTGGATTCCATTTGATTTGTTAAAAGGAGTAGTTGACAAATTTCTTTCTACTTTCTCACACATGTGTATTGTTCAAACTTCTCACCTGAAACCAAAAGCATCTCCCGATCAATTACATTATTTATTATTTGATTGATGAAAGCCTTCGATTACTTGTGTGATGGTTTAATATTGAGTCCTGGTCTGGATCATATATTTTTACTACATTGTGTAATTATATATGCATAATTTAATTAATAAACCATACAAATTTTTAATTCCAAAAATAAAAATAAATAAATTATTTATAAAGTTGAAATTAGTTTTCCTTTTTTCCTTCCTTCTTCGGGGAAAAAAATCTTCTTCTTCTTCTTAGTACGCATGCCAACCTGTACGAGATCCCTTGGGGGATAAATCGATTACTTGTACAGTCAGATGCCAGGTGTTTTCCATTTCTGCTTCAATGGATAAGCCACGTGGCATACATGCAAACGAAAAGACGTAAATGCCCCACTGGAGCCCCCCGAAGCCATTCTCTGGTGGGGGTATTATAGTCATTAATCAATCTTTCTAATTAAGACATTGATTCTCTTGAAACACAAACTCCCTAACATACGTCGTTCGGTTCCTTTTATTTTTATTTTTATTTATTTTCAAGAAAAACCTAAAACCTTTTCCTCGTTAATAAATTATTTAATAATTCATAAAAAGCATGGCATCTCTCTAATGGCATAAAGCAATCAGACCCCACAAGCAATAAAACCCTGCAAGCTACGGTCAGGTTTAGCACATTCTTCCATGGATACCGAGTAAGCTTCTTCTTTTTTCTTCCTTCTTCTCTATTCAGTGGCCTTAAACTAATCTGATAGCTATTTTTCTTTTTCTCTCTCTTTTTTTTTTTTTTAAGAAAAAAAGTTTCGGTACCAAGTGATTTTCTACCCATCTCCATTGTTCAACTACCTTAACCTCACTCAACTCTGTTTTCCTGGTCTAACCAGATCTGAACCAAAACCTTCTTATTACGTCGAAGACGGCGTCAGAAGGGTTTCTTCCATGTCATCATCATCCTCCTCAACCACCAGCGTCCACGTTACGGCCCTTGACGGTCTTGTCAACGTCAACTCTCTCTTCACCATCGCCGTCTTCGTAGGTCTGTCCCTCGCCACTCCCGGCCAGAAAAGCCTCGAGGACCGGACCGCCTGCGACGCCGGAGACGACGTTGCTAAGAAAGTCCTTGTCTTCGAGGTTGTCTCCTTCAGCTTCTTCCTCTTCTCCTCCCTCGTTGCTCAGGGCCTCAAGCTCGCCATCAACCTGCTCAACAGCAAGGACGTTGACGAAGCCTTCCGGGCCCATATAAACCTCAAGGTGCTCCGGTTAGGTATGATGGGCTCCGCCGTCGGGTCCGTCATGGGTTGTCTTTTCTTGATGTTGTCGATGGTTGATGTGATTCAGATCCGGTTGGGTTTGCTCTCCTGTGGCAGTAAGTCTGCGGTCCATGCGGTCGCGGCTTTGGTTATCTTGGTTTCCTCTGCTCTCCTGGTTTACATTTCCACTGCTATCTATGCTTTCTTGCATTAATTGAACAAAACAAAAATCACAGCACCGAATTGGTAAATTTTTTTTTTCATAAAGTATTCTGCATTACTCAAATGTGAAATCTGCAGCTTGTTCAAGAAATTGGGTTTGCTCCATTCAGTATCTATAAATAGAAAATGTTTAAATGCGGTTGGAGAACTATAATGATTATCTACTTGGTTATATACAGGTAGAAGACATGCTTAATTTTGTAATTCTGATTGAATGCAATCTGTTTAACTGGCATATAAAAAATATTTTTGGTTTGTTTGTTAACTTATGAAGGTTAGCTTTTAATTTAAGATTTATGGTTAGAATAGCTGGTGGGATAGATTAAAACTAAGGTTTTAGGCCAGTGGATTGGGTCGGATCACGAATTAGAGAAGTGATTTTTAGATCCGACATATTACAAATAATATCAGAGCATATGTTGGAATCTTAGAGCTTGCAGTTACAGCGACTAATTATTGTTCGGGGCATTAATTTGTTGTCGCCATGAGAACATCAAGTATTTGAATGAGCTGCTCTATGCAAGTGCTTAAGTCACCATCATCTATGCAAACACATTAGTGCCTGCCAACGAGATTGAGCAAGGACTAAATCAATCTTGACGTAGAAATTTGTATTTATTTCGTTCATCCCCGAGCTGATTCTTGATATTTATAGGTTCATAAAATGATGAAGTTTATATTCTTAATTATTATTGTTGTTAAACTTGGGGGGTCTTCCAATCAAGCGACGAGGTTTCTTAGAAAATTAGAAATTTGTATTTATTTCGTTCATCCCCGAGCTGATTCTTGATATTTATAGGTTCATAAAATGATGAAGTTATATTCTTAATTATTATTGTTGTTAAACTTCGGGGGTCTTCCAATCAAGGGACGAGGTTCCTTAGAAAAATGAGTAGTTGGGATTCTTTCTTTCCTGTGTTCTTGAAGAGTTATCTTGTATATCATTCTTAAGGTAGCATAAAAAACACCATATGATACAATAACAGGTATTGATCGGTGGATGACATTGTTGCGGTAATAGGGAATTATACCATATAAAAATACAGTAAACCCGATCCTGTCCTCAGGGAAGCAGAATAATTTGGTGATCACTGTCAAATAAAACTGATTGGTTGATATGCTTCCTGGTAAAGAAAGTCGTTGACATTAATTTTCCATTTGCCTTGTTTGAAACTGAGTTTGGATTGATGACTTATTATTATATGATATAATAAACATGCAGGGATAGTATCTAGTGCATGTCCGATGTATTATGAACTAGAGAATTAATATGTTGAGAATTTCTTGTAGGGTTTGTTTGGTTAGGGGGAAATGAAGTACAAGCTGAAGGAATAATGATATTCTGGTCCTAATGTTTTGAACTTTTTCCTTATATAATCTGACTTTTCTATATAATACATTTTATCACGATTAATGATCATTTGTTGCGAGCAGCGAATAGTTCTCATTCCCTTATCCTCCTCTCTGTCTTCTTCATTTTGCCCTCCCCAACAGATCCTTGCAGGAATAGATGGGTAGATTCTGAGCTATATTAATGCCTTGTGTTAAATACAAATTGTGGAATAAATTAAATTTCCAAGCTTTCTTGTAGCCATGAATGTCTCAGTCCGTGTCTAATATTGAAAGGGTATGTATACCTTGCAAGGGATGATTTTCTTGTCTTGGCAGCAATCCTAGCCTCCCCCCCCCCACTTGACAAATCCAGCTTTATTATTTCATTTTGTATGACTTTGGATTTGCTCTTTCTTCTTTACCTTAAATACCCATTTTCTCCAGGGGAGGAAAATTATTATACAAAATTTAACTATAAAAGTATTTCATTAATTTACGTGTGTGTATATATATATATATATATAAAAGCAATAACCTTATGATTTTATCAAAGAGGAAAAGAATATTGTCCATGATATATTTAAAAAATTTAAGTATAGATTAATTGGTGGTGATGGTTTCATAAAGAGAACAAAAAGTGTAGGTTAAGTTGACAGCAGCTAACTGTATCACTAAGAATGTTTATGTATACATATATCTGATATTATTTTAATTTATATACTTATCTTTTTTAAAAAAAAAAAATTAATATTAATATATTATGATTTAATGTACAGAATTTTAATTATGTTATAATAATTTACTAATAAATAATTAAAATAATAGAAAATAAAATTAAAATCTATAAACAACTGAAAAATCCAGGTATACATTAATTTCTTTTTTTTCGTTAGTTTTAATATAATTTATAGCCCATAATATAATGATAAGTTTTATTAAAATTAAATATAATATTCTAAAAAAATTAGTCATTACTAAGTATAATATTCTCAAGTGACTCAAATGCTGAAGTGGCAAATTTTGATTTGTTGGATCCTGCGAGACTGCTGCCTCTTGCTCACCGTTGTGTATCTTCTATTGTCCTCACCGTTTGTACCATTTCCAGTTCGTACTGTCCCGTAACAAAACCTCCCGAGAAAAAAAAAAAAAAAAACAAAAAGAAAAAAGAAAACCTTCTTCCTCTTTACTTCGTTTGGTGGATTTGGACCTCGATCGTCAATCAAGTAAGTGTTTTACTTTCTTGAATCTTTCATACTTCTGGAGTTTATAACTAGCTATCCACGAAATTACCAATAAACCGTTGTTCAGCGTTCGATTAGAGTAGTTTGAATTATGACCATATAGTTTTTTTTTTTTTTTGAGCTGTTGGCGTAATGTACGAAATTATCAAGTTGATCATCGTCTTCCATTTGCGTCTGGGTGGATTACAGAATGTTTGGCCTTTTAGCAAAAATTTTGTTCTGCTTCCCCTTTCAATCTTAGCAAAATTTCTGCACTTCTATATTTTCTTTTCACTTCAAAGCAACTTAAGATTTAATTAACTTTATATGTGGCTTAATGGATTTCTTTTTGTTTTTATTGTTTTTTTGTGTACTTGTACAATGAAGTGGATAGGAGATGAATAATAAGTCACGGTTTAGACCTTACCTTATAGATAGGAGATGAATAGTCTGTCAGTTAACTTAATCAGATTTCTAAGAGCAGTAATTTCATGCGTTTTATCTAAAGCATCCTTCATACCATTCCTTACATGGTTGGCATCAGCTTAGACCTTACCTTCGTTTGTTGCATTTTAGGCCTGTTCGAGTGTTGTGGTTCCTTTTTTCATATTGATTGAAAGAGGTTTCCCGTGTTTTATTAAGCAAAAGTTATTGTGAAATGTTTTTTTTTTTCTTACACATTGAGAGGTAACAACTAATTTCTCATCTATATTATTGGAAATGAACCTTCTTAAAATTTCTGGATGGTGGATGAACACCTTTCTATTGCTAACATGGGGAAATGATGGAGGGTTCAAAAGGAAAAGATCTTGCTGATGAAGAAACTCCATATACGGAGCTGTACCTTGGAATGGAGGTTGAATCTGAGGAGGCTGCTTTGGTTCTTTTCTGATGCATATGCCACTCACTTGGGATTTTTATGCTTGTTCGTGCTCTTCAATGGTCAATCCGTCGTGGGAAGGTTGTGTGACATTGACTTGTGTGTAATAAAGAGGGTTTCTGTAAGTTGAGGCCACCAACAAGTGAAAATAGAAAAAACTTTGAGCAATTATGAGAGAAGGGCTTAAGGCAATGACTGTGGTGAAGAAAGAGAAATCAAGAAAGTGGATAGTCGCAGTACCTGTGAAGGAGCTTAATCATCTGTTGGTACCAATACCAGCCAATGGTTGCCGGAGCATGTTTTCTATCTCAACAATGGTTAGTCCTCGTGCAAAAATGAAGTTTGTGTTGTCTTCCCAGTTCAATGCAAATGCTAATTAGCAGTTTCCTTTTTTTTTTTCCTTTCGTAAGTTCTGCATTTGCTATAGTTGGATAGTTAGCGTTAAATTGATGATATTTTTAGTTACACCAGAATATTCTAGAAGATTATAAAAGATCTAGAATTTTCTATAGAACTATGGAAGATAGTAGAAAATTCTAGAAGTTTAGAGAACAATAGAGAAGAAGGTAGAAGATGATATAGAAAGTAGAATTATATAGAAAATTGTATAAGGATGTAGGAAAAGGAAGAATATTTGGGCTCTTCTTGATATTCTTATATAACAATCGAATACTGCACCTCTAAGCTGATGAAAATTGTGAACCAAATGAAGCTCTATGAAGATAAATCTCTTATCAAAGAATTGTTGAAAATTGTTTTGATCAATTTTCTTGCTAAATTTCATTATAAAGTTGCTACTAGTAAAGGAGTCCAAAGACTGGTGTAGACTTAATGTAAGTAAGCTAGTTAGGCTCCTTACAAACACATGAGCAAAGAATCAGCAAAAGGTGTGGTAGCTTTTCAAGCAAGGCATGAGTTTAAGGATGGGAAGAAAGATTGGAAAAATTCTGCAACCAAAAGGGGAGGGAAAAATCATGGTGGTGAGTTATTCAAAGGAAAAGCAACGAAAGGGAAAAGGTAAGTTTCCTCCTTATGCAATTTGTAAGAAGACTTTTGAAAAAGATTGTTGGTTCCAGTGAAAATTACAATGCAACACATGCAAACAATTTTGATGATTGGAGAAAGGTTGTTGGTCTAAAAACAATAATTAAGCCAATTACACAAAAGCGGGGGAAGAACAAGAAAATTTGTTCTTAGCTTGCCATATCGCAAATGAAGCATATTGCAATAAACTATCACTTCATATGAGAAGTATTCTCATCTTCAATGCCTTTGGTTATGCTGGTTGCTTAAAGAGCAATTGTCTGTATTGTAACAGTGACAGATCTTTTGGCGATCGACCTATTTCATTCCATTCTCAAAATGGCATGGACAACTCATGTGGTGGCTTTCTATTTCTTGTAAGTTGTTGTGCCAGTTACATTTCTGGTACACTACTTAATTGCTGAACTTAAAATTGAAAACGGTGTTTTATCTGTTTGGTTAATGTTGATTTGGAAATTGTTAATGCTAATGTCAAATTCTGCAAATGGTATATCTCATTGGTTTCATGGTTTGTGATGTGACCTAGTGGCTTTCTGGTTTGGCTTTGATTCAAGTAGTTTATTCACAAAACAAATCGGAAAGGCAAGTGTATGAAGAATGTTCATGACATTTTCCACTTCGTATGACATGCGATTGCTGGAAATTTTTATTTTACTTGTTTTGTAGTTGCACAATGCCTACATTGATTTTTGGATATGCTATTGAAGGCTTATCCATGGGCATAAGAGCATTTAGCTTAGGGAGAATTGAGTTTGATAATATCCTTTAGCAGTTTTATTTAAATTTAATTCCAGGTTGTATTGGAAAAAAGTAAGAAATGAGGGCTTGCTGTTACCTTTGGGGAGTTAAAACACTTTCTACTTCAGCTGTATAGTTGCTGGATTATCTTTCTCTGACTTTTTTTTGAGGAGTTGTAAAGTTAACAGATATCATGTCGTGCTCTTGCTTAGGTTTTTCCTTGGTGGTTCTGTGTTAGGAGACCAGTTTGTTTTAACCTATGTCATGAACAAATGGAAAGCATATCTAATCAAGCACTTGATTCCGGTGAAAGTGTGAAGTCTTTGCAAGTTGAAAGTTATGATGGACATGAGTTTTGTGATGATGAGCTTTCACAAAATAGTAGTTTATGCTTGGGTGCAGTTGGCGAGACAATGAAAGAATCCTTTGAAGACACCTATATTGGACGATGCTGTGGAGCCATACATTGGAATGGAGTTCAGGTCTAGGGATGCTGCTCAGGAGTTTTACATCGCTTATGGCAGGCGAATTGGATTTACTGTCCGCATACACCATAATCGTCGTTCGCGGATAAATAATGTGGTTATTGGGCAGGATTTTGTTTGTTCAAAAGAAGGTTTTCGGGAAAAGAAATACATGTACAGGAAGGACAGGGTTCTTCCTCCACCACCAATCACTCGTGAGGGCTGTCCTGCAATGCTGAGAATAGCTTTAAGGGATGGAGCCAAGTGGGTTGTTACCAAATTTGTAAAGGAACATAATCACACATTAATTTCTCCTGGTGAAGTCCCGTGGCGAGGATCTGCAAAAGATTTGATCAGCGAGGTATATTATGTTTTCCTTTTCAACTGGGCTGATAGGTTAGTTTATGATTTATGAACTAGTTCGTCACCACTATGTTTGCAACTTCATTTAACAATATTTTCTTTGAATTTGGTTTATATGACCATTATAACATTGAAATTGAAGACCAACATATTTGAAGTCAGTTGTGCTTTTGGATGAAACATTCCTCATGAGCAGCATAAAAAAGTAAAAAAAAGAAACGGCTTCAAGAGCTGGAGCCAGTCAAACCTAGTTGTCGTTGTTTTAAAATGTTCATTCTAGCTTAGTTGTAGACGTCTTGGATTTTCTGGAAGAGTGGAGTCAGTTGGCGGACCACATGATGATACATGCTATTAAGGAGCAGAAGTATGTCATTGAAATATTAAAAATAGCCGAAAGGATCTCAGTGCTCAATATATTGTTTATGACCTTCAGGTTATGCTCAAGCATAAAAACAGCTGAAATTGAACTTCCATTCCTCATCTAGGATTTCAGTTTTTGTCATAACTTCATGCTCCTACATCACATCCTATAGTAAACTTTCTATTCGACAGGATGGGAAGGATCGGAGAATACGAGAACTGACCAATGAACTTCACAGTGAGAGACAAAGATGTAAACGCCGTTGTGCAGTGTATCAAGGACAGCTGCGTGCAGTGTTGAAGTTTGTGGGGGAACATACGGATCAGTTGTCAATAAGAGTCAATGACATAGTCAAGAATGTGAAGGAGCTCGAGGATGATCGGTTAGAAAACTCAGATTACTGATATGTTTGGTGTCAAAATGTTTTTGCCAGACGCAGACATGTTCTGCGAACAGTTTGTACATTTTTTTTTATCGTTATTTGATTTTTTTTTTGTTACTATTTTGACTATTATTTACTATTGGTTTCACAGTAAATAGTATAGTAACAATGGATGGTGAACATAGTAATAGTTAGTCAATTAGAAATTATAGATGGGAAATTTATACTTGTCATCTGTAAATAAGTAGATGTATTATAGAAAAATTGCTTATTTAAACTACCTGCTAACTTGGTAATGAATGGTTGGTACTTTAGTAAAATTTTCTTCTGTTGACCAGAAAAATAAAAGTATATATACATATATATTAAGCTAGATAGCTCAAAAAAAGAAAAAGAAAAAGAAAATGAAGAAAGGTGGGAGCAATTTTGTTTTGTATACGATACAAAAGCAGTTTGATGATAGGGGAATAAATCAAAGCATAAATGTGCAAGAAAGCTGAGATGACCAATCTTGTTCTAATTACTTATAAGAAGATAAATCCGAAATTAACTTATGAATTTTAGTTTACTGGTGCAATATTTCTTTTCTACTTCTTCTCGTTTGATCTCAAATCAAGTAATAATTATAAAAATTAAGATTTTGGGTTTATTCCATATTTGATGTTGCTGCCAACATTACTACTCTGGCCTTCTTTTTTTTTTTAAGTACTTTTCCCCCTCTATATATATGTGTGTGTGTGTGTGTTTCTCCATGTCAGGCCTCTCTACCTTGCCCAAATCAAGCAATCTATAAAACTCACAAGAAGAAGCAAGCAAGCAGCACTCATGTCCGACGGGTCTCTCTCTCTCTCTCTCTCTCTCTCTCTCTCTCTCTCCATTTCCATATATACTTGCATTATATACGCACACGCATATATAAGACAAAACATATTAATGACTGGCTTGTGTATATATGCATGTTTTCTGTTCTAATCAATTTTTTCTGTTATTCGATATTTTATAGCTTTAATATATATATGTATAATTAAATCATAAACGTTTGTTAATTTCTACATTTTTCCCTATCTTATATTGAAAATTAAATTAATCTAAATTATATTAAGATTAACATACAAGTTTACATATCAACCTTAACCTTAACCTTCATCTCTTCTTTGATTCTTTACAAAGATCACAACCAGTCGATGAAGCAAATCAAGAGCCGCAACAATTGGAAAAAAGAAATCAGCTGACGCGAGGACTCGAAATCTACCGGAACGCACTAGACGACATCGTCAACGCCAATGGACTCTTCACCATAGCCGTCTTCGTCGGTCTATCTTTAGCTCAACCTGGTCAACGCAGTCTCGAGGAACGTCACGAATGTGACGCAGACATGACACTGGGAAAACAACTAGTGGTGTCGGAAGTAATTGCCTTCGCCTGTTACCTGCTTTCGAGCTTAGTAGCTAAGGCTCTCAAGATCCATCTCAGCGTCTGCACCCCCGAGCAGTACGAGCAGTTTAAGTACAAGGTTATCAGGGGAAGCCTGCTGGTTCTGTCCGTCTGGAGCTCCATCTTCGGCTGCATCTTCTTGACCATCTCCATGGTTCATGTCATTCAGATTCGGGTTGGGAAGTTGTCTTGCGGCAGCGTCTATACGCTTCGATCTGCTGGAACGCTGATCGCGCTTGTCGCTCTGGCTCTGTTTATTTACATCACCTTCACCATGCATGCCGTTTATGTTTCCATGAATGGTCGAACTTGATGATCCTGAAAGGTTTTTCCACTCCGGCGGCGGCTTATGGTGACGGAGGAGACTGAGTTTTCGACGGGTTGCTATTCATGCAGATTAAAAATATTGGTTTACGTAACTTGCTTGGGGTGGCTAGTGCTATTTGTTGTCGAGATATAGAAGGATAAAAAATAAGAAACCCAAGTATGGTGATTTGTTGTGTAATTTTAAATTAATTTCTTTCTGGTGTGTTATTATTTGTTATTGTGTATCTCAATAAATAAATAAAATTTAATTATTATTCTTTTGGAAAGAAGTATAATGTGCAAGTCCGATTGTTACAAGCTTGAATATTCTTCTAACTAAGCTAACTTATTAGTTAACAAATATATATATATATATATATATTTTATTTAAAATACTAAGCGTTATAAAAATAACATTTAATTTAATTATTATAATTTCATTAATATACTAATAAATTAAGTGATAAAATTTATTAATTTAAAAATTATGAATTAATTAATTTATGTTATAATACATTCACAAAATAATAATTTTTATATTTTTAAATTTTAAACTATTAATTTTTCATGTAGAATGCAAAAAAAATTTAAAAAAAAAAATTGTTGATTTTGTAATTTATAATATTCTTATTAATTACTTTCAATGTCAGACCACAAGAATATTATATTGATCCACACACACACGCAAATATGTAGCTTTCTTTTCATATATGTCTCCTGGTTCCTTTATTTTATATATATATTTTTTTTTTCAGAAAACGAAGTAGAAAAATTAACTAATAATTAATATTTGTTTGGGGTAACAAAGAAATATATAAAGATAATGAAATATATATGACCAGCTTCAATATATTATAAGAATATTAACTAACAGAAAGGCAAAAGAGATGCCTTCTAATGATGCATGCATGGATCCAATTTTTAATAATTTAAAACAATTTTCTTTTTCTTTTTGAGATGGAGTGGAATATAAAATTGGAATTTGGATCTTCAAACAATTGATTATATGTATATGTTCTTTAATTTTCTTTTGTTCATAAGAAGCACATTAGTAATCGTCTGTCTTCATTTTCCACTTTTTCTTTTTACCATTCAATTGCTTGGAATCAAAGCCATGCATATCGATACAGTCTCCACTACGTATGTATTTAACCTCCATGATCGTATTCGATTCATCGCCATCGCACATCCAAATTAGCAGCTACCTCAAAAAATCATCAGCCATGGGAGAGTATGCACGCACATGCTTTTTTGTTCTTGATCACGTACAAACTTCAATTTATATTTAATTCAATTCCCAATTACTTTCTTGATTTGTCTTCTCCAGATCCGCAGGAAAAGCTAAGAATACTCTGCAAAGGGCAATAGAAACCTACAAGCTCGCCTTGGAGGACCTGGTGAAAGTAAATTCCCTTTTCACCATTGCAGTGTTCGTGGGGCTGTCTCTGGCAGATCGTGGGCAGCGGGGCCTGGAGAACCGCGCGGAGTGCTCGGCAGACATAGCCATGAGGAAGAGGTTGGTGGTGACGGAGGTGGTGTCATTCGGGTTCTACCTCTTGTCGAGTCTGACAGCTAAGGCCCTGAAGATCCATGTCAGTACTTACAGGGACAAGTTTCAAGCCAAAAAAATAAGTTACCAGGTTATACGAGGGAGCTTGCTGGTGCTGGCGCTATGGAGCTCGGTTCTTGGTTGTATCTTCTTGACGATTTCCATGGTTGATGTGATTCAGATCAAGGTGGGAAAAGTGTCTTGTGGAAGTGGCTACAGTGTACACTCTGTGCAGTCGCTGGTAGCCATTGTCTCTATCGCTTTGGTTATTTTCTTCTTCTTCACTATGCATTCTATCTACTACATTTCCACTGTCAGTTTTGATTAGGAATTACTCATATAATTTCCTGAACTTTTAGATATATGCATCTCACGGGATAAATTGTACACTTCTTTTCAGCTTCGTTGATAAATTTTTACGTCATTTGGTGCGTGTATATCTATATAAATATCTACATAGACACCCACATATATTTTATTCGGGATGTATGCTGGACTGGAATTTATCTAAATCAATTCCTTCCTCCTTCAGTCCCGAATTCTCAATCACCTCAGCTACAGCAAAAATTTTAATGAAATGTTTTATAGGTACAGGCTGATTCAGCTAAAACCTACAAAATGCAAAACAAAAAATAACCCCAATCCCAACAACTCATCTCATTAACAAATCTATTGAAGAAAAAAAGAAGTGGGTGAAGACTAGAAGTAGAATTCAGTTCGTATGGCAAAAAATATATGCTGATAGAGATTGTATACACTAAAAGATATGAAACTGCAAAGTAATCCCTACTTGCTGTGTGGATTTGCTACCCGCTTTGACTCTATTTCTCTCACGCTTTGTACAATGTCATCAATGTTCCTTGTAAGGTGATCGGAGTGCTCCTCCATATCTCTCAATATCGAATCAAGCTGTTCTTGGTACGCAGCACATCGCTTCCGCTCTCGTTGCAATTCTGCTGTTAATTCTCTTATCTTTATATCTTTCTCATCCTGGAAAATTCCCACAACCAAAATATATGAATAACAAATCATTCTTAACTGGAAAGTTCATTAATAGAAGGGATCAAAATACTCAATCTTTTCTAATAATAAAAGACAATGAATCCACTCATGCAACTCTTCCCAGATAAATTTTATATCCTATTTGGCAAAAAGATGTCCAAAGTCACTAAATCAATTTGTACTTGCTCCACAATCCAGAAACAAAAATGATATTAGATGGTTAGAAATCAAAACAATACTGATTAGCCATTCAAGAGAAAAATAAAGAAAACTGAATGTCCATCTTTATTGTTCATGTTCAGGGGAGCTGAATGATTGAATACTCAGTAAAAAGTTAGTTGATGGATGATAACAATAATACTATGAAATAATTTAGACAAGAAAACAAAGCTTCATTGATTTCTTAACCAGCATTTTACATCTCTACAACTACACATGTAAATTAGGAAAATGTACAAATTGAATTGACACCTTATCATCCCGTCAAGTGCCTACTTTAAATTAGCAGGCTGCTTTTTTTTTAATCACCAGGCACATGATTTTCTTTTTCCGAGGACTACGCCAAGGGGAAATTGTAAGTCAATAAACAAGGGTACTAATCTCTTTGGATTGACAGATCATGCAAGAGAAAGGGAGACAGAGAAAGGCAAACCGGGAAGAATGACATGGTATCAATATTTAATCCTTGGAACAGATATGTAATAAGTTTACATACTTGTATGCAGCTAACTTTGTCCAACTGTAGTATCTTTGTTCTAGTGCTAAGGTCTTATTTTCTCAATGATTAGTCATAGTATTTTGTGTCTCCAAGTCTATAATTTGATAGCAAAAACCTATTAGTTTTACAGTCGAACTCTTTATTCTTGTATCTTCTTAAAGCATTTCTTAACCAAGTAATGGAACCAAAATCGTTGTTTATAATGTCCTAAACAACCTAAACTTACTTCTGTCTTTGGAATCTAATATGTATCAAATTTGCAGACCTGCAACATGGCTTATCCATTGTTGCCATTAAGAAACTTCATCATAATCAATCAATTACCGGGCCAGAATCCTCCTGTCACCATTAAAGGTTCATCTTTGTGCAGACTAGTAAAAGAAGTTTGGTGATCACATGATTCAATGGAACTTCATGACAAAGGTAAATGTTTCATGTTTTCCACTCATATTATTTGCAAGTCCAAAATAACTCCCTTACAAGCCTAACATTTTTATTCTACGTCCTGTCAAAAAAAAAAGAAGAGAGAAAATTTTTCTGAAGCTCATAACATGAAGTATATAGGACTTTGTTTCTCTTTTTCAGAGTGAAACATATACAAATTTATCGTTTATTCATGATTCTTTCAGATTATTAAACTAGTACTAATAAGTCACAGATCCAAAGATCATAGCATGAAAAGTTCAGACAATTTCCCTGGGCACCATAATGAAGTTGATACCAAAAGTTAACAATATTAAGCAGAACAACTAAAGATTTTATTTTTAATTTGTTTAGAAGATATTTTAATAATTTTCAAAAGAAATTAACCAATTGCTAAAAATAACTTAAACCTACTTTCAATCTCAAAACAACATCATTCTGCTCCATTTCTTTTGGGAAGCATATTCATATTTAACCAAAAATCAATATCAAGTGACAAATCATTAGCAAACACTACCTCATATATTTCATTTCACAGAAAAACGAAGATATCATTCACAAGAACCGAAGAGGTGCCTGCCATCCACAAGGAGCACTGAGAAGAAGGAATCAATTAAAATGTCTATGAGGTGTCTTAAATCCTCTCCATCAAAGAGAGAATGACTCTTAAACAATTTCTATGGCTTGGAATCAAAAGATCTCTAAACAAATAGGTAGGAAAAAAAATACTCTTAAAAGCTCTTCTATTTCTTTTCCTCTAGATATCCCGAAATATGTCACTGGGACGAATCGAACAGTCATTTAGTTCCTTCAGTTGATCTCCAAACAGAACACATATTGGCCATACTGATCTCTGAACCATATTTTATTCTCAGCTTCAGTGTCAACATTTCCCTAAAGCACCTCTCTTCTTTTTCTAGTTATCTAACACCTTAGATACATAATGCCTTATATTATTTCATTTCTAGTTTTCAACCTTCCCTCGATTGTCTTAGTGCCCTCAATGGATTGCAAATGACCTTAAGATGACAACATTTTCCCATTTTACTTCACCATAAAAGTGAAGCTCAAAGATCTTTGGCACCCAAATTTGAAGCCTAGCTTCTACTTGTGATCCCATTACTGCAAATATGTGTAGAAATGACTGAGAAGATATCAGTGCTCTCTAATGCTAATTTGAAGATCCTTGCTTCCGCAAAGCTATTTCACTATTATCCATCATATACAGCAAATTTAACCTCAAGATTTTGTTTCCTAGAAAATTTTCTTATATTAGTGGAAAAAAAAAGACCTTTTCATTAAAAAAAGAAAAGAAAAGAAGACCATCTGTTATTAGTAGTAAATCAAATCCATCCATGCTACCCTCAGGACATTTTGCCTTTATCTTTATCCATTAATAATAGATATAGGAGCACAGGGATCTCAAATTGGCCACTAAGTAAAGAAACATAAATTGATTAGCATAATACTCAAATTACCTAATGCTAACATCAATCACCACATACGACACTAACTCTGAATTGAATAAGCCAACATGGCGACTGCTAAAGTTCATCATCTAAAGTTCATCCAGCCACCACAAATGCAAATCTTATAAGAAGAAAACAAGATACATTGCCACTTCGTACTTGGATTGAACTGGGAAGATAATAAATATTCATTTTTGCATGAAGACTAACCGGTGTTTGAGATAAGACAATACTCCGACGACCATTGGCTGGTATAGGTACCAACTGATGATTATGCTCCTTTACAAATCTCGTGACTACCCACTTTCCAGATTTATCTTTCTTCACCACGATCATTGCCTTACACCCTTCTCTCGTTATGGCTCGAGGCTTTCTATTTTCACTTCTCCGTGGTCTCAACTTACGGAAACCCTCTTTGTTGCACACAAGTCGACGCCAAACAACCTTTCCATCACGCATTGACCTTCTAAAAGCATCAACACGCATAATAAATCCCAACCGTGTGGCATATGCATCATAAAAAACCTTAGCAGCCTCTTCAGATTCAAACTCCATTCCTTGGTATGGTTCCATATCTGAACACTCTTCATTGGCCAGACCTTTCCCATTTGAACTCTCTATCATTTCCCCATCTTCAGCCATAGAAGGGCGTTCATCCACTGCGACAAATATCCAGAAATCTTAAGAAGATTCATTTCCAATTATACAGAGAAAAAATTAGTTCTCATTTTTGAAATGTGTAAACGATGAAGCAATTTCACCGTAACTGTTCATTATGAAACGTGGGAAACCTCTTTCAATTAATATGAAAAATGGAACCAAAAGATGCAAACAGGCCCAAAATGGAAGAAATGAAAGTAGGCTCTACGTTGTTCCAAACATATAGGCTACAATGTGAAGGATACTTTAGATAAAACGCAGTAAATTACTGTTCTTAGAAATCCAACTAAGCAAACTGACACAATACACCTCCTATCTAAAAAGCTAACCCATGAGGATCAGAACCGTGAGGATCGCATTCATTTTACGGTTATGCAAATAAAACAGGGGAAAAAACCGTCAAGCTCCGTATGAAAGAAAAAAAAAACAAGAGTCCAGAAATTCTTGTAAGGATGAAAGGGTTCAGAGGAGAGGAAGCAAAACACAAAACTTGTAAAAAGAAAAAAACGTTCTGTAACCAACAGCTGCAAATCGAAGACGATAACCAATTTGATGCTTTCGTACATTAAGCTAACAGCTCAGAAGATTGTATGAACCATAATTCAAATTTCTATGCTTAAAAAACTCCACAACGTTTACTGAGAGTTTCTGATGACTAGTTTAAACTCCAAAAGAAAAAAAAAATGAAAGCTTCAAGAAGGTTAATCACTCACTTAATTGACGATCCAAATCCAAATCCAACATGCTGAGTAGAGATGGAGAGGGTTTAGCTTATGTATCTATGCATTTATTGTTTATCTGAGCGGAGATTTTTATAGTAAAGAGTGCGCGAACCTGCAAATGGTACGAACGCCGAGGACGATAGAGAGCTTCGACGGTGAGAAACATCAGCACCTATACCTTCACAGCCAACCAATCAAAATTTGCCACTTCAGAATCTGCTTTGTAGCGATTAACTAAAATTATTCTATGTTAAAAGCTAAAAATCATATTAAAATTAACGAAAAAGAAATTTATGGCTCTCCAAAATTTTTGAAATTTTACTAAAATATTACATAAAAATTTTGATATCAGATAGGTATAAATTAATTGAAAAATTAAAAACAAGATAATATTATTAATTACGTGTTGATTATTGATTTTAAACATTCTTAATTTTTAGTAAAGTTATATAAGGGACAAATACAAAAATTTTATATTATTTTAATTATTTATTAAATTTTATATGAAGTTAATTTTTTGTTATCTTAAATACAACACTATTATTTTTTTATTTTAAAAATATAGATTTATAAATAAATTTCTTTAAATATAATTTAAATTATTTATTTTGATCTAAAATATTAACAATATCATAAATTGTATAAAAATTTATTTACTTGACATGTTAATTTTAAGTTTTCAAACTATTTTTTTAGTTTATTAGCGAGTTTTATACAATTTTTTTTCTGTAAGTTGAAATTTTATTTTCCTTCAATTTTGTTGGAATTTTTTTAAAATAAATAAAATTTAAATTTTTATTAACTTTACTCCTTTTAAAATTAATAACTTAAAATTTATTTAAATAATTTTATATTAAATTTAAAATTCTTAAAAATAATTTATTATTATTTAAAATATAAATATAAATTAAATTTTTTAAAAGATAAATTTTTATTAATAATATAATTTTTTTTAAAATAAATATATTTTAAATTTAATTAAAAATAAATTTTATTTAAATTCAAACTAATAGATAAAATAAATTTATCTTCACCAAATTTAAACAAAATTGTGATAGTAATTTATTATTATTAAATTTATTTAATATTTGAAATAAATTTTTGATAAATAATTTATTATTAATACTTTAATATTTAGTGGATGTTATAAATATTTTAAAAAATAGAATACTTACAAAAATAAAATATAATTAAAAGCATAAATATAATTTATTTATTTTTAAATATAAGGACAGAAATATTTGAGTACGAGGGCGTACACTCAAGAGATCCCCAGCAACTCGCATGGCTCTCGTCTGTCGACTCTAATCCTATGTCATGATCTAACGGTGAAAATCGACCATTTAATTCTGTAAACCCCTTCGAAACCTTTTTGTCCTTGCATGAGCAACCAGGGATCGCTTCTAGATTTTGAATTCATCACAGATTCTCTGGATTCTCAGTAAGTCCTTTTTTCTCTTCTACTTTTCCACACACAGCAACAGGAAAAAAAAGGAAATGTTAATAATGGTTAGATCGACTTTTGGAATTTTTTCCTTTGAATTTTTGTTTATATCAGTGTTCTTGTTCACTCCAAAATTTTCTTAAAACAATTTACTTCAGAAAGCTCCTTGTGCCTTTCAAAGCCCTTGTTAGAGGGTTTTTTTTATGCCTTCAAAGTTTTTCCCCTCTTTATTCGTGGGGAAAGTATCCGGGGAAAGTGTGTTCTTTTCTACTTTCTCCTTTTTTAGGTTGCTTAGAAAAAGAAAAAAAGAAGAAGGCAGTAGGTGGAAATATATGTTACTTAATCTGTTGTTGACTATTCCTGCGGATGAGAGAAGAAAGTTCTGTATTTTAGTTCAAAAATGAAGTATGCTTCTGGGTTTAGTTTCTGCAAATATGACATAATGTACTTATATACATATATTATTTATATGGATGAAAGCAGTATTTTTGGTTTCTTCATGGCTGGTTAATCTCGAAGCCCTTCTACAAGTATATGATTGACAGAACTCGAGTCAGCAGTTAACTTGTATGTTTTGCTTCATTGGATGATGTTACTGTAGAATTGTGTTTTCTGTTCTTTACCTGACATTCATCTGTATTTGGAATCTATATATGTCATGGTTCTAAGATTGAATCTCAATTCAGAATTTACGAAATTTCTTCTTTTGTGAATTGTGGTTCCTTTAGTTGCTGAACTTCCAGTTGAGGGAAATTTGGTAAAGAATAGGTCTATTGGTTGTTGCAAAATTCAGGTTATGTGCATTTAGCTGCCGGGTAAGGATAGTTAGAATGTTCGGCAAGTTGATCTTGAGATCTTATGAATCGTATTTCTGAAGCTTTGTCACTATAATGGACGAATACTCAGTCTTAGCCTACTTGTGAGATATAAATACATTAGTCTGCCTGTAGGCTTTTCCAAATTTTGTTTTATTGCTCGATTTCTCCTTGATAACCCTTTTGTGAAAACGGGCATGATTATTTCCTTTTCATGATTGTTTCCAATGTTTATATAATCGTTCTTAATTTTGCACTTTATAGTTTTTCTTCATGATATCTGGGCAAGTTTGTTAACTCTCCTATTATATGTTTTCCCCTTTGTTTGGAGCCCTCTTTCTCCTAATAACATACATTTCCATAAATTTCTCTGGATTAGGATATTTAAGGCAGTGAAGAGACTTCTTTCTTTTTCCATTCCATGAGTGCCATCTGTCAAATTTGATCAGACTGTAACGTCCATTTCTGCCTAATAACATACATTTCCATAAAGTTCTCTGGATTAGGATATTTTAATTTTAATGCAATCAAGAGACTTCTTTCTTTTTCCATTCCATGAGTGCCATCTGTCAAATTTGATCAGACTGTAATGTCCATTTCTGCCTAATCCTTATCTCTTTCTTTCTAGTAGCATTAATTAAACTAGGTCTTCGGCAGGAGTTTCCCTTTAGCGATACCATTTCGATCTTCATCTGAAACCTTGAACTTTTTGCTCTTCTGTCTCCACTTGAACCCAGAATGGAATCCAGTGTATACAACAGCAGAAGGTCTTGCCAAATAGTGCCATTTGGCCAATTTTATACTATGTCTAACTTGGTTCTGATGCTCTTTTTTTTTTAATTTTTCATTTCTCTCTTGGCGGAAGGAAACAACTTGATGTAAATGCTATGGCACAAATGATAATGGAAATCCTGTGTATACAACAGTGGAAAATCTTGCCAAATAGTGCCATTTGGCCAATTTTATACTGTCTAACTTGATTCTGATGCTCTTTTTTTTTTTATTTTTAATTTCTCCCTTGGTGGAAGGAAACAGCTTGATATAAATGCTATGGCACATTAATGATAATGGATTTGCTTAACCAAACTGATAAATTATGCAAGGTTGTTTATAGTACCTGAACAACACAAACCAAAACGTTATGAATTACAAAAGGTTATATCTACTGACTTTTTGTGACAGTGGATTTGGACAAGGAGGAAGTTGCAGCTGATAGCTCTATTGAGGAAAAAGCTTATGAGTTAGAAAGTGGTGAAGGAGATACTGAAAGAGGTGAAATTGGGAAGTCAGAAGGAGGTGAGGTTGGTGAGTTGGAAAGAGATGAAGTTTTAGAACCATATGTGGGCATGGAATTTGAATCTGAAGATGATGCTAGGAAATTTTATGTAGAGTATGCAAGACGTGTAGGATTTGTTGTACGTGTTATGCAACGTCGTCGTTCGGGGATTGATGGCAGAACTCTTGCTCGTCGACTTGGATGTAACAAACAGGGTTTTTCTCCTAACCAAAAGGGTGCACTTGGACCTGATAAGAAGCCACGCCCTAGTGCACGAGAAGGTTGCAAGGCAACTATCTTGGTGAAGATGGAAAAATCTGGAAAATGGGTCGTCACTAGATTTGTGAAGGATCACAACCACCCCCTGGTTGTTACTGCAAATGGATTCAGTACATCGGTGAGTTTCTCCCATGTTTGTTTGGGTTTGGATTTATTGTTCTCATATTCACTACTCAATCCAGTTATGAGATTTTTTTTTCTGGGGGTTCCAGGCGGATAGTGGGGGGTCAACTTATAAGATTGTTGAGTTTCTCTGTCATTTCTCTATTTTCTGGTTGTTAAGGAGAAATGCATTTCTCTTTCTGGGTTGAAAATCACTTGATGCACGTTTCAGTTATTTAAAAATTCAGTTTATCTTCTTTCTCATTTGTGTGAAGTTCATATTATCTATGGGGTTTTCACTTTTCACCTTGGTCATTCTTTTCAATCATACAATTCCTAAGGTGCTTGAACCTGACCCTAAACCTTTTTTCCTCTATGATATCCTTCTCAAAGATTGGGTCATGATTCTAAATCTAATTGTATGGTCTGCCTTTTTGTTTGAGTTAATTGCATTAACTGGGATCTGTGAATTATTTTCTAGATTTAGAAAGCATGTAAATAATATGGAAAATTATGTTTTCCTGCATATGGGGCAGAGCTGGACTCAGTTGTGTTAATTTGAGGAACTACTATGTGTTTGAATCTGTCGCACAGATGGATAAGATTATTCAATAAGATCATTATACTTGTATCCATGTACAAATACTAGAGGATGTGCTGTACCCACAGAAATTTTTCTTTGTGGCTCAGCTAATGTTACTTAAGTTTTGTCACAAAACTAAGAAAAGGTTTTTAAGTTTCCTGAACCATGGGGTACCGGGTACGAAAGTCTGCTCTAGATCTATATTACGCCTGGCATTAGGTGGTAGTGCCGCATACTCATGGTACACATGCTTATGTTATGGCATTCCTCTTGGGTTCTGTCCTCTCTTATATTGATTGTCCATGTAGTTACTTTACCGATTAGACTGATATTCTTCTTGGACTTTTTCCTGATGGTCAATGCTATTGACATTTGGACATGAATCCAGTGAAACATTTCCTTTATACCCTTCTGTATATTGTGACCAATGACAAACAATTCTTATATTGTGTTAAATAAAGAGTAGTTGTCTGAGAAAACTGTGGTTATTAATTTATAGGGAGATAAGGATAAGAAAATCAAAGAACTTAGCATGGAATTGGCACATCAAGAACAACTATGTGCAGCATATCGAGAGAAGTTGCTGTCTTTTATGAATAATGTTGAGGAGCAGACAGAAGAGTTGTCGTCGAAAATTCAAGTTATTGTTGACAATGTTAGGAAGCTTGAATCCGAAATGTTAAGACATTCTCAGAGTAGAAGATAGTCTTGGAATTTTTATGTAATAGCTTATTTATCAGTGCATTTTGTTCATAATTCTTATTTGTTTCTCAAATGGCTTTGGCTATGTACAGGGATTAGAATGAATTTCTTTTGTCAGGGTATTGAATATTGAACAGTTAACGTTGTGTAACCAATTCATAATGTTCTAATTGGGAAATGGAACTAGCTCTCTCTTCACCCTTTCAATATATCCTTGGATTGAAGGCCAGATTTTCTCAGAGAGGAAGATTAATTAATGCTTGTTTTATTTTTGGTCAAGTTTGATTTCATCTTGTCATTATAAATCAAACTTGAAAATTATGATTGAAGTTTACACTAAAAAATATTTTGATTCTTAGACTATGTTTGGAATAAGTAAAAGTTTATTTTGTGAAATTTACTTTGAAATTCACACATAATTTAATAATTAAAAAGACAAATTCTTTAGAAAATAAAACTACAAAATGCAATCTAAATCCAGCATCAGAAAAATTAAAGAATACATGCATCTTTCAGTGAGATCCTATTAATTGCATCAAATAGAAAGATCTGCAAATTTCTTGTCCAATAGAGAGAGAATTTCCTTATGACTACAAAATAAAAAATGAATTGGCTCGCTGGACATTGATACAGTTAATCAAAGGCATGTTTGAGATTTACCAGGAGTACCAAGCTCAATTTTTCTTCAGCAACATTAGTTAGAAAGCTTATACACATATGCAATTTCTAATTAGGCAATCTCTGGACACGATAAGTTCTTTAATTTCTTCAATCGAAACATTACCTGCTCATTCATGGATCATAACATCGTATATTTCACACTCAAATATCAGTCACAAGATATGTCATAGATCAAGTCACCTGTGTAAAGAAATTTGTTTATATATACCACATTCCTTTAAGTACAGATGGGGCTCCATAACACTGCTTTAAGCATGTAGCAGATAGACTTTTGAATCATATTTTAAAATAAGAACTAAAGAGAAAATTAAAAAAGAAAGTCACCGTATGAATACCTGAAAAGCCTTCAAAAATCAAATTTTCTGTTTCCCTTCACATCTGGAACGAGTCTTTTAGACCAAAAAAAACATTACAGGGTCTTAAACAAAGTGATAGATCTTCCCTCTATCACCAGGAGCAGCAATTGTCTGATGCATGTAATGAATAACTCAGTAAACTTTCTTGTATGAATAACATTGAAATTGAAGAGTAATTAATATATTCGGAGTCAATTGTCCGTCTCCATGATTTTAAAACAAAATCTAGTGCAGACATTCTGAACATTTTGGAAGATGAAGAGTCATGCTGTATGATTGAACTTTGATAAATAGCAAAAAATATTTGAATCAGCCATGAACATATTAAACTTTCATATTCATTACATAAATTTAGAAGACAAAAGTTACCAGATAATATATAAACATTATAAGAAGCATAGATTTTAAGAACACTTATTATTAACTGTTTAAAGTTGCAGTTTAGTTTTTCCCCTTTCTTTCTCACTTTTTCAAATGATGGTTTTAAATTGTAATCTGTTACATGTATGCACATAGATATATAAGTTTTCTTACTTTTTCTTAATAACGACTGATAGCAGTCATATATATCATGTTTTCCATACAAGATCAACCATGTCGTTATTGTACCAGTACAAATGTCAAAATCACCTTTAAGGAAAAAAAAAAAAAAAAAACCCCACTAATAGCCTAAACAACGAAAAAGAAAAAAAGAAGTCTTATCTCCTCTTTTTCCTTAAAAGTGAAGCAGCACGCAAGAACATCCTATCAACCTCATCAAAGTTTGGAGAGGAATCCATATCCTCCCCTGATAATTTGGTTCTTCTCGAGTTGGCAGATATTTGACGCAGGTGATCATCAAAATCTTCTGTCTTTTTATCATTTTCAACTGGAAATTTTTCAAACTGCTCAATATAAAGAGGCCGTTCCACCTTCTCTTCAATCTCTGTTCCAGAATCTGTCTCAAAAATATCCGATAAATTTTCTGAATCTGTTTCCATATCCAAATCTGTTAAAGAATCACCATCAGAATATTCTTTGTTTTCATTTATAATCTCTTTCAGCCTATCTGAACACCCCGCTTGAATGCTTGAAATGTCCCCGGAGTCCATATTGTCAATTTGAGAGTTTTGGACATCTTCTATGCCATTACTCCTGGTCTCAGCTTTGCTTTCAGCCTGTGCCCGAAGCAACTCAAGTTCTTGTTCAAGGCTTGGAATATATTTCTTGACAGCTCGGAGAGCATCCCTGTATTTGGATTTATCCAGAGCCTGTGCAGGTGAAATGAGAAGGAAATTAGAATATATATTTAGGAATTTTACACGAATAGCACAAAATAGAATGGCTTTAAACCAACAATCAAGAGTAAACAAAACCTTTCACTTTAGAGGAGAAAAGCAAGAGGGAGGAGAAAAAATCACCTTCTTTCTTGAGAGGGTAACTCTAGGTGACATTATCTCTGTTGGCGGTTGTGAATAATTTTTCCCTCTGTACATAATTATTGTGTTCTCCTCATGAATGTCAAGGACAATCCCACCGCTCAGTCTTGCCAGCTCTGCAGCAATCTCTTTCACCTCATCCGGTGAGAATGTTTTAACCACAACCTTCAGAGTCTGATGTTTCTTCCAGTGCAGGTGCATGTTCAGAATTACACCCTGGTATATTCCACGTCGGCCAACTGGTACGTAGTTCTTGCACTTGAGGCCCATCTTCAAAAAGAAGAAGTGCTCTTCCGGGGTCAATATCTCTGGATCATGGGTTGTTTCGGATGATTCTGCAGGTTCAAGCTTCTTCAAAGATTCAACAAGTCTTTCCTCTTTCTTCCTAGCCTGGGAAAAAGGATGAGCAGCACATATGTGAAGATAGTAGTTAGAGAAAGAAAATACAATAATCATTTTAAAAATAATTAGCAACAGTGTTAAATTCCAAATAACAAAGAGAAACAAATAAGAGTTAACAGAATCATGGAAAAAACAAAGCATCAATGCATCATTATGTTATACTGCAGGAGAATTTTAAAAACAGTCTGTCATGTTTAAGAGTTCCATAGCTTTTTCTTCTAAGGGACATAGGGTAAACTCTAATGGATTAAAGCACAGTATAAATCAAATGCTTTATAACAGCCTAACCTTTCTCAACTTAAACAGAATTGTTTCTTCTACAGTCATTCTCTCATACTCTTTCCTCTTCTTCCACCTGAAGAACTTAAGCCACCTCACAACTGCTCGTTTTCCCTTCAACTTTTTCCTCTTCACTTTAGTAGCACCATCACTATCCAGTGTTGCACTCTTCCCAGAATAAGTTACAGGCTCCACAACTTTCTCAGCAGTATCCACAAATGAAGCTGAATGAATATAAAGGTGCCCCAACAATGGAAACCTTGCTATGTTATAAACTCGTCGAAGAGCAGGCTCTTGATACAAAACCTTGCACATAAAATCACCAAAGCTACTGCAGTGTGAGTTAATCTCCATTCACTATTCTCTTACAGTAAATATTGATTAAGGATGCATTTCTAAACTCTAGATAAAAAATTATCACATGAACATCTGCGACATAGGCCCATGGATGTACAGGTGCCAAAGAACTATTCGACTCAAGCAGAAACAACAAAAGGATACAATACTAAACAAAAAACATAATGATCACAGGATAAAAAGAATATCTTTCAAGACTTCAAATAATAAAATCCAACTAAACTCAATAAATTTGAGCCTCATCTAACTGGAGTAGAATTAGTAAAATTAAGCTTCAAATACAATTAACAGCTTCTTGGTTGACATCATGCTATTTCCATTCTATTGATAATTCTCAGTTGATATATAAATGCAATCCTAATTTTCATACTTGATTTACAATTGAAAAAACTCAACTCTTGTGTTGAATTTTAGAAAAAAGTCTATTTCTACTTGCTTTTGTAGGTATTGTAAAAACTCTAGCTTGAATTGAGAATGGAATTGAACTTAAATTAAAAATTAGCTTGAACTAAAAGTGATTCATCCTAACTTGACAACTAAACATGCCCACATTAGACAGTCATATAGTCTTCGAAAATTATATCATGCACAAAAGACCTCATTAAATACTTCCCAAAACCAGATAATATAAGGATGAAAAGAAAGCCACAGAACAATGTCTCGCCATCTACCAACACAAACTTAAGTTAAAACTAAGAATTTTTAACAGCTGTTATATGCATTCCTCATATTCAATAACAACTGTTCATATTTTATTTTCATTCTTCAACAACCACAAGAGACACAAGATACAGCGCCAAAAACAAAAATTTAGAGATACCAGTTTCTATAATCATGTATGTGTGTGTGTGTGTGTGCGTGTGTATAATATCAAACTGAGAAGGAATATTACCTGCGCGTGTGAAGAAGGTTTCTGTAATAAGAGAAGGGAGTTGAATTAGAGAGACATTTGAGCTGATGAGACTTATAAAGGGCCACTGAAGCTCTACGCCAAACCCTCCCTGCCATCATTTGCTTCATCTCTCTCTCTCTCTCTCTCTCTCTCTCTCTGTCTCTCTGTGTGTGTGTTCTGTTGCCTGTTCGTGCACTGGGATTTAATAACATATCCCATTAGATCCAGTTTTTCTGAACCAATAATCTAACAAATAAAAGTTTTTCACCCCTCCTAAATATATAGAGAAAAATTATACTTTTTTTTCAATCAAGATCTAAGAAGTAAGGAAAACCTATTATATTTCTATCCGCTGTATTTAAAATTTTGTTTTCAGAATATTATTTACAAAAATTAAATGCCTATTGAAAATAAAGAACATATTTTTTTATCATTGTACTAACACTAACTGTTAAAAGGAAATGTCACAACAGGTGACATTGAGGTATTGCAACATTATTCAGAAAGAGAAGTCATGATTGATACTTTATAGTGTGGAATCAGCCACCCAATGCTGGCAGTGATCTTCATGAAAAATCAGGTTCAGAAAATGACACCAAATCAAAGAGGGTTAGGCACCCAGGATAAAAGCTTTCAGATAATGGCTAAATTTTTTTTTAATGTACTAAGTACTGAATTAGGAGAAAACCAAAAACTGATAAATGGAAACGACCAAAATATATGGAACTTATTAACATGCTAAGGAAATAAAGCAATTTGCCACTGCTTATGTAACTTATTAAGGAAACTAAGTCTAACAAACCAAAAGAAAATTGAGGGAACCATAGCACGTAAATAAGATCATCCAAGGGTCTCAAGAGCAAAAAAGAACCAGTACCTAAACAGAGGGCGTGAAGAGGAAATAACAAAAATGATAAACCAGATTTTCTGCTATAAATCTACCAAAAGCAAACTCAGAGCAAGCACCGAAAGATGGAGATTAAACAGTCCTTGTCAAATGTACAATGTCTTGCCTTTAATTTGGTCACTGCAAAGTCCAAATTGAAAGAGCAATCCCATGGCCTCATTAATGCTCAATATTCCATTTTAGAAATTCTTTCATCAGCTTCTCAACCAATCTAATTCTCAATATTGAATATATGGAATTAAAAAACTATAATCCATACACAACCAAGGAATCTGCTTAGGCTAACTCATATCAAAACACGATCCTTTTTACTACTAGCATGTCATGATTCAGATTAATTGGCGAAAGAGTAGGAGATGCAGGACATGAATAATTTCACCCACTAAAAAAAATAGTCATTAGTTTCTCGTGTGTGTGTGTGTGTGTGTCTCAAGTCACTAAAAATTGTCAAGAGTGACTTTGTCATAAGCGGAGCCGTATCAATTTCACCAACTGTACTGGGAGTTGAGAAACTATACAGATAGGCTTCCATCAATAGTTACTTTAAGCCTTCCATTAACAACATAACGAAGAGCTCCTTACACAAGAAGAAGAAGCTTCTGCAAGAATCTTACCAAAGTATCTAGCTTTACCTTACATTAAAAAGTAGCAGGTACACTGGAAGCCCTTTTCTGCTTCTACGTTTCCGGCTCTCTACCATTCATCTGTGTCTTCAAAATCAGAGAAGAAAAATACCCCTTTCGACTCCATTTGTGCTTCTCCCTCTGCTCTTGGTTCCTCTCCTTTTCCTCTCTCTCTCTCTCTCTCTTTCTCTCCAGACCGCTCCCTTTCTGCCCCAATTTCCAATCTCCTGCTTTCCAGAAAATCAATTCGAAAAGAATGGCCGCAAACAGTACACTCTATCTTATAACCCAAAATCCTCTAGAATCGCAGCCATTACCAAATACCAAACCCACAAACAACCGCGAACAAATTCTCCTCCCCTGAAAAAACACTTGAGCATTCCATCTTATGCACCAATTCTCTGCTTCGCTTCATCTCACAGTTCAGTTAGCCGTGCCCTAATCTTGACCATCAGCACCTCGACGCATTCACACAGCCAGTAAAGCTTAGAAATTCCCAAACGTCATGGTGCTCGGTTCCCTTCACCGGCTAAAGTGAATTAGGCTGGAGCAAAACCGTTTGGGACGGTCTTTAGAACCTGGACTCGTAATTTGGGGCCCAATTCCGCTGCTCAGAGTGGATGAGCGTCAATTTGAGCTGATTTTATAAATATTTTTTAGTAAAAATTTATATAATTTAATAATTAAACGGTAATTATATATTAATAATAATATAATTAAAATTTTAATATAGAAAATAATACTATCAACCTCGTAAAATTATATGATCAAATTGAGAACATAACGTAAAAAGAATACCTTTTATATGTGGACCAGTAGAATGATACAACACCATAAATTTCTTCTATCTTTTTTCGACAATTAATAATTAATTATGCTAATTTTGATTACAAGAAATCAAGTAAACAAACCTCCATCTCTCTCTCTCTCTCTCTCTCTCTCTCTCTATATATATATATATATGTATGTATGTATGTGTGTACATATATATATGTATGTATGTATGTGTGTACATATATATATGTATGTATATTAACTGGAACCTAAAGCAGCAAACCCGCCACCTTTCATCATCTGCTTAAACTCCTTGAAGTTAACCATGCCATCTCCGTCAACATCCACCTTGGTAATCATCATCTTGCAATCTTCTATCGTTCTTCCCTGTTTCAGACCCAACGATGCCAACACTGATCTAAGCTCCTCCACCGTTATGAATCCGTCGCCGTTTTGGTCGAACACGTTAAACGCCTCCTTCATGTCTTCTTCCTCGTCTCTCTCGTCCATTATCGTCTGGTATAGAGCTCCGAACTCTTCAATGTCTACGTAACCGTCTCCGTTCACGTCGATTTTCTCGATCATCTGAATCAAATCTTTGTCGGGTATGTATATACCCAGATTCTCTAGCGAGTCGTTTAGCTCCTTTTTCGTAATCTTCCCGTCTCCGTTCCTGTCGAACATCTGGAAAACCCGACGGAGCTCCCCTGGATCCATGTTTTCTTTTCCCTATAAAGAAAAAAGTTGACGAATATATATATATATATATACCTGTAAAGAAAAAGTGTCCGTAAATATATACTGTATGCCTATGTATATATATATATATATATATATATATATATGTATACGAGCTTTTTTATGAAGGCATGTATGCAATACCTGTACGTAACTGAAAAATCAGAGCAGAAAAGCTCTTCCTTTGAGAGGTTAAGGAGGGACAGAATTAAGAGAAAGGAGAGGGAAATTACCGGGGGGAAAAAGTAATTAAGTTATAATTAATTAGCCTTAATGAATACCAAATCTGCGGTTGTAAAGCTAGCTAACAAGAGTTGTTTAACTAATTATTAAATTAAGCAGATAATAAATAATGAAAATGTGTATTTAATTTTTTAAGAAGAAGAAGAAGAAGAAAAAAAAAAAAGAATTTTCAAACAGATAATCGATTATTTTCCCTTCGTTTTTTCAGGTGTACAAAATCCATAATTGTAGTTTTTTTCAAGAGGTCTAGAAATAGCTGTCAGCTTTGCCGTTGAGCAATATTATATATGATTTGTTGTTATTTTGGGTGTGTTGATAAAATTAAAGCTGTTAATTTTGATTTGAAGGGTTGGTTTGTTAGGTTATTGTTAATTGAAGTACGGTAATGGGTAATTTTAGGAGTGATCAAGACTAAATTTAGGAGGTTAATTTTGGTTAGTCTGGCAAATTAGAGGGTTAATCTTTAATTGGGTTGGTTCCTTTTTTTTTTGTTTTTAGAAGTTGATTTAATTGTATATTTGTAGTTTATTTACCGCTCCAAAAAATATAATTTGATAGTAATTATACAAGTGTGTGAAATAAATTTTTGATTTTAACATATTTATTTGTTCCAAACATAAATAAAAAAAAAAAAAAAAATGACTTCAACGGTTCCCAACTTAGCTTCGTAAACCCATTCGTTTAGCTCCCTTCTAAAAAGTACGCACAAAACTATATTTGAATGCATACGGTGGTGTTTCCGTTGCTAGTTTACTTGCGATTTTTTCATTTTATATATTAAAAAAACATATATATATATATATATTAATGGCTTTAAAAAAATATATATATATATATTTTCTAACAATTATGGTGAAATTTGATTGGCATTAGGAAATGAAGTTGAAAATCAGCAAGTACATATAAGACTCTGTTAATTAAACAACATATAAATAATAACATATCTTTTAACAAGTACATATAAGACACATAATGCGTGATTAAAAGCAACACACTAGTAAAAATGGTTGGAGATACCCACTGCCCCATCCCAGCCCACAGATGGTTAAACTTGATGTCCTCTCTGAATATCAAACTAAATATAAATTTTTGAATAAATTCTAAAACATATACATCCTTATATAACAATTAAGTAACCAATAGCATGTACATGAATGAAAAATCTTATGGGTCAAGGAAATAGTAGCAGACTAGACTATTTTTGGAACATCGTACCTCATCCGTCGTGTCATTCAAAAACTTTTCATCTGAAAAGAACATGAAAACCCATTCAAACTTTTCTTCAAGAAAGAAAAGGAAAAATGAAAATGCCATTCTATCAATTCAAAGGTTGTGTTGCCTAGTGCGACAATCCCAGTTTCTGAAGTACATCCAAAATCTTGGTTGGCAAACTTGGTTTTCACACAACAGACACTGAAGATTATTCTTTACAAACCTGTAATCATTAACCATTCAACTTCCTTACAAGTGGATTTGAAAGAATGTCAGAGTTTACTACGCTGCAGAGCTACGGATAATGCAGCTCAAAAAACCAACATGACTGACTTGATATGGACCTAAAACCGTTTTAGAGACTGGTGAAGGAAGAGATGTTCCAAGAGATAAAAAGAAAAAAAAGGAAGGGTGCAGAGAAATCTAAAGAGACAAGGAGGCAAACATAGCATAAGTAGAGGTCAGTATGCGTTGGTCACTTACGAGATTACACAAAGAACTTTTTTAGATCATATAAAGAACGTAGAATCTTTTCTGACAAAAGAAAAATTAATTAACAAGGCGCCATTCATCAAAAGGGAGTGCCAACCATATACAACAGAGTCAATACTTATGAGGTCTCCCAAATCCCCTCCAGCCAAATAAAAGAGAATGTCCCTAGAACAGAAAACACAGGTTAAAACCATGAATTCCCAACTCCATCAAAAGATAAAACAACTTCCATAAAAGCATTTCTATTTCTAGTTTCCAAATAATCCACATACTGAGGGTGATAAGAGATTGAAATTTTTATAAGAGATTGAAATTTTTTCTTATCCAGCAATGCCCAAATCTATATCTTTAAAAGGCTCAACAATCACCGAACTCAAGCTTGGTTTTTGTAATTGGTTTGCACTGCCTTTCGCGATGTAAATATATTGCTTCATTTTCTTCTAAAGAATTCACTCAACTCAAGGTGGAATGAAAATGTAGCTTTTGACCAAGCCAGTAGCATGGAATTATCAAAATCTAAGTCACTGACATATGCATGATACAGAAAAAGGTCCATAATATACAGCTATTATGTCAATGCAATAAAACATACAACCCCAGTCAAACATTATACAGAGATCTCCATCATTCTCAACTCTTTCTTTTCAAACTTGAAATGACATCAGACACAATGCAGATTGCATATTAACCTACCTGCTCCCACAGCAATGAGACTCAAACTATGAAGCCATGCTGTCTGAGACTCAGGTGGACATTTCTGGAGATGACTATCCCATATGGTCTAATTTAAAAACTGGCAAGTTCTCAAAATCTTTTCACATCAACCAGCTCTCCCAAAAATGTAAACAGCTTTTAGATTCCAATGAAAGCAGATAAGGAAGGGCAAAGCCCCTCCCTTAAATACAGGAAGCTGCCTGGTTCAAAATTCTCACTATGGACAGCCTACGGAGAAGGGGAAAGATATCATCAAGGGCTGCCACTGTTTCCTTAAAGAGTGAGAATCCCCCAAGCATCTTCTTTGTTGCTCAGGAGCTTGAAGGTCGTGGAATTCTTGTCATGGATTGTTTCTGTTTCAATTGTGAATTAGATTTGAAGGGGGTTTCAAAGTTTCTAAATATAGGAGGATGTTTTGTACTCTTATTCCCATTTCTACTTTTTCGGGTCATGTGGGCAGACTCTTTCAATTGAATTAATGATAAATGTCTGATTCCCTAAGCATTCTGTTAATAAGGAATTTCATAATTCGTGATAACAATCTAGGAACCTGACTGGTATTCCGACTTCTCATTTCTATAAGTTCCTAGGCAGCACCCCTTGGTGCCTGTTTACAAAAGTTTGTTCTCCCAAAAAAGAAAACTTGTATGTTTGACTTCAGCAAGTTTTTCGCCAAGAATGAATTGTAGAAATGCAAATTCTATACTTCTGTATAACTACTTATTTCATATTTCTACTAAACAACTGAACCATAGACAAATGAGCATCTAACAAGCAATTTATAAACATGCGCTTAAGTCGCAGATAAGCCAAATATCGGATACATAAAGCCAAGACCTGCACTACCAAGACATGACACTGGATCAACAGCATTCCACCCCTGAACAATTCCAAAAACTGGAAAGTTTCACTCTTTAACACATTTTTAATTGACCTTACTAGAAATTGACAACTTTGTATTAGACCGCGCCCGCAAATCAGCCTCATGAAAATTGGAGTCTACAGCTTAACTACCAAACTTAACACCGTTCCCTCAAATTAAACTCCAGGAAAGAACACCTTCCAAACAGTGTTTCAGTAACTGGCACACGTATCTAAAGACTAAAAATATAAATAAACGGAATCTGTTTTAAGGGATAAGAATTGGAGCCAATCACAAATGAATATAAGCATAAAAAAAATCCAGACAATAGCACTGAAATGAAACACAACACAAATCCCATGGGCAGCATTAACCAACAAGTAGTTAACCCACAATTCGGGGAGAAAAAACTATAAGAAAACCTTGAATTCTTTTACATCGAATACCATAATTTTCAGCCCATTATTATCATAGCAACACAGAATACAAAAGGAAACCCCAATTTCACCCTTGTTTTATGGAATATCCCAAGGTTTAGGTTCCGGAACCGCGACAACCATACCTTGGAGGTCAGGAGTAAGTACGACCTGACAGCCCAACCTAGAGTGCTTGTTCAAGACCCGAGCCCGAGAGTTACGTTTCAAGACATACTCTTCGTCGTAGGAGCGGGGTGGGAGCTTTTCGAGCCACTCCTGAGCGATATTGACCTCGCATTCGGCAGAGCAGGCATCGATCTCCTCGAGCCGGTGGGATGCAGGGTCGATCAAGCCGTTGTTAGCGAGAGCCTTCAGCAGAGTCTGCCCCGAGAGTCCGACTACTTGGCGCTTCCTTCCTTCCTGGTCGATCGCGAACATCTTGACGATCCGATCAGCGACTTTCTTGGAGGAAGATGTCGGCGATGCTGAAGTGGCGGAGGAGCGGAAGATTGTGGACTTGTTTATGGAGGGAGAGAGGGAATGGAGCCGCTGGATTTGAGAGGGAAGCTTTCGGAGAGCGGCGGCCATCGCCATTTCGGAGGGAGGTTTGTTGGAGAGGACGATGAGAATGTTTATTTTGGGCTGCGAGGTTGGAGACGAATTTCTCTACACTGAATAAGTGAAGTTACGTACATGTTGTCAATGTTATTTGCCTAATTTTTATTATTTTAATTTCAAGCATTTAAAGGCCACAAAAATAGAACTGAATTTCCATATATAATTTATTATATTAATTTTCAATTTTATATAAAATATTAATCATTATTGTTTAAAAAAAAAAAAAAGAAAATCAATTTCCCGTTCTTCAACGAAGCATAAAGTCTAAACCAAGTTTCAACTCGTTATTGCCTTTGGGCATATGACTGGCTAAATTCTTATATATTACAAATAGAGTAGATAAAAATCTATATAATTAATAGTGTATGCGAGAGATACAGAAAAGAGATTATAAATTTAAATAGTGTACGTAGTAATATAAAAATTTAATAATAAATTATATATTTATAATGCTATTAATACTTTTTTAAGTTTTTTAAAAAGAAATTTAAAAAGGGGATAAAAGTTTATTTACCCATTTTGAGTTACTGAAAGAATATAAATATATTGACGACAAACACTTCCATGGACAGCCGTACGATACTTACTGTCCCAACCAAGTCCGAATTTTCCACTTGCAGTCATTCATTTTATACCTTACAACAGATACAGGCACCGCAGAAGACCAGAATGAATAATTTGAGTCCATTGAAGAACGATTCCGATTCTGCGGATACCAGTTCCTATTTTTTCAAGTGTTGCAAAATAAGCAAAAAAACAGATAGATGATCTGAAACTGCCTTGGAGAAATATTATTAAAACTATCATCGGACAAAAAGAAAATGCAAAAGGATAACTCTTATTAGTTAACTGCTGTTGAAAACAGATCTGCACTTATTTAACTGCTCACCAACGGACTGGTTTCTTTTGGATAAAACTATCCCAACCTCTCCCCAGGAGCGCAAAACAACAATGACGCCAAACAGTACAGAACTCACAGTTATGTTGAAGATTGCAAAATTATACCACTAAGCTCTCTGCTCCACATACGAACCAGAAAGTCCAGATGTTCCAAGAACAGAAACCTGGAATAAAAGAGTAAAAAATATGTTAGAAGACAAGAATTTGCATCTGTTTTCAGAACATCAATAAGTATTAAAGTTTTCCCGACATTCTCGCATTAACTCCTGAAGATTCATGCCCATTCTGTGTCATCTGAATAAAGAATATGCTAAACCAGCTCAGGTATCTTCTTAATGGTAATCTGTCTTTCTAACTTCCAGAAGAGAAGAAAGAAGCCAGAGGAAGTAGTAAACTGCATGACTCAAGATGGGTAAATCATTTTTTTTTTCTTTTCAAGAATTTGTTTTTTGAGAGAAGAAGGATGGGTGAATCTTCCCCTAGGATCTCTAACATGATCACATGGTCTAGAAATAGACTACACAGCACACATAATGCAAGAAGAACTACTACAAAATAAATGTACATGGACATGCGTGCCTATATATAATTCAAAGTGAGAGAACAATTGTTTAAAACGTTCAGCTAGTTATGACACATCAAATCACAAAATGAGTTCTATAGACTTGCAACAAATAACCATCATCATGAAAACTATTGACTAGGTAATATAGAGCTAGGAAACATGCAATATATCCAGGTAGACTGTGAAAGCTTTCAATACCTTGCCCCACTCAGAACCAAGACCGCTGCACCTCATCTTTAAATGAATCATCTTTGTCCCCAATTCCATCTCAACTTTCTTCCGTAAATAAGTTTCATCAGGTCCAAATGCATCTAGATAAGTGGTGTATCGCTGATAAACAATACGCAGTGCACTGTTAATCTCATCTGGTAAGGGCTTTACATTCTGCAGGAAAAAAAAAATCAAATGTCAAATGGTCGAACGAAAAGTGAAATAGAAAATAGAATATAAGACTTCCAAACAAATGAACTACGAATTGATTCCTTAAACTCATTCACAAAAGAACTTTCATGTCTAAAATAAATCAGGAAATTCAAAAGGCTTTTTCCCTATCCAAACTCTCAATGAAAATAAATTTGTTTCTTTTTTAGTTTAACCCCTTTATTCCTTTGAAATAATAGTTTAACCCTTTTATAAATTACAATACCTCGCCGCTCAATCCAATGCTATCATCAATTTCCATTTTCAGGGATGTGAGAATCCCACTGAACTCCTCAACAGCTTCAGCTGCACGGAAGACATTTGCTAGAGCCTCCTGGCCAGCCTTGTCATCAGTATTCTTCGACAATATCTTCTTTGCATCTTGGACCACGGTATGAGGGATCTCATCCCAACTTGTTGCCATCAAGTCCTTGAAAACATTCAGAGCTTCAGGGTCTTTTATGACAGGCATATGAGTTACATCTTCACTAAAATGACGGATGCTTCCTACACCCACTGCCAGAGAGTACCTGCAATCTGTGAATTATACCAACATTCTCAACACTGTTCATGGACAACAGAAGAAACATTCATAAAGCTACTGAACTAAAAGCTCAACCACAACCATAAGGCACCAAAAAGAAGCGTCGCTCATTAACTCAGAAAGATAGTTCCAGATTGATAAAGATGAGTTTGTAAATTGTCTCTCAAACAGTGAAAATTTAGTCACCAGCTATCAGGTCTCAGCCAAGTCCAAAATATCCCAACGGCATATGAGGCAAGAATATTTAAACAGTAAGTATGGACATAAATATAGAGAATGAATCACCTTTTCCTGGTAATATCTACTGAGACAAGCAGTACTATCAAGTTTCAGCCAAGTCACAAATATCACAAAAGCATATCTAGCAAGAAAATTAAAACGTGAGTATGGACATTAAGATTTAATGAAATGTATCTTTTCCAGCTAAGAACCGACTGAGAGCAGCAGTATTAGAAAATCATCACAGAAGTGGAACCACTCAGGGCCTAATTCAATCGCAGAACAAAGCCAATATTCTGTTCCAGAGGAAAAAAGAACCAGCAAGAACTAGTGCAATTATATCTTTTTTTTTTTCCTTTTCTTTTGGGAATATGTATTTTCCAAACTAACAAAAAAGGTTATAAGACATTAAAGAAAATGTGAAAGTAGAATCAAAACAATCCTCCAAAATGAATCAATCAGGTACAAGATCAAACACATAAACTATCAGAAAAATCATTCAACAAGTTACACCCCCCAAAATGTTCCAATTTGTTCAATCGAACATCTTTTCTTGAGAAGTAGGAATCCACTATTGCTACCAAATCCAACGTGAAGTGGCACAAGAAAATCAAAAAAGGAGATTAGCATGTTAATCAACGCTGACAGTTTCATGAAAAAACACTGAAAGCAGCGAATATGGATTCCTAAAACATGAAAAGATATAAAATAAGGGGGGAAGTACCAGAAGGAAGGCTTTTTGGAGGAGCAGCAGAAGAAGGTTGAGAGAGGCTGAAGAAGTTCCAAGAAGCCACCATGTAGTGGCGATAGAGCTGCTGATTTTGGGTGGTGAAACATGAGGATCTGATAGAAGCTGCTTTCGCTGCTGCTCTGCATATGGATCTCAATACCACCATCTTCTCCGTTTCTTCTCCTACTATTTTTCTCTGTATCAAGCTGAAACCTACAAACAGGTTTTTGTTCAGAAAGCTAGTAACCAACTTGAAATCACTAAGCATCCAAATGGCTAGATGATTGCACACAGGAAACATCGCATCATGATAAAAGTTGAGCATAATACAGCTCCAAGACAATATGATAGACTTGATATTCTGAAGCCCTTTTACAGGCTGGAAAGGAAGTAGGCGATGTTTGAAAAAAAAAAAGCAGACCAACTCAAAGCAATACAAGAGCCAATAAGACAAGCATAGAGAAGTGCTACTACTTAACTCAGATGTCTCATATGCACCTCACCTCCATGTTTAGCTTTTAACGTTTATAGTAATTTAATAACATTATGTAATAAGAAGATAATAGTCTAACATAAATTACGTCAAGATGAAAATTAATATTTACAGCAAGAAAAAAAAAAATCATTACTTATAGATGGGTGCAAGCATATCTAAATTATACGCTTAAACATACTTGAAATATATGAAACTAATATCAACTCAAGGTCTCTGATTTCAAGGGTTAATAATTGCTGAAGTGAAATCCAAGAAATAGAAATGTTTTATTTGATGAAACACCATTTCAAGTTTCAATGGATAATGTGCTGGTTCATGGAACCATAGGTTCTGGGTTAGATCCCCAGTGGTGTCAACTGAAGTAGGAAGAAGGAAATCCCAGTCGAGCATCCAATTTAAGAGTTTTTTATCTGGAAGAAAAAAGAAACACCATTTCAAGTTCACTTGGGCTTGCACATGGGAAACGCTGCTTCCAACTGAGTATTCTGTGTCATTTAAGTCAAGGACCCATCAAGCTACTTAAAAGTATATTATTCCCATTCACTCAAAAAGAGCACATGGCACCTGCTTGCACCTATTCAAGACAACTTATTTGCATCGTCAAAAGAAAGAAATCAACACAATAAGAGAATGACATGCAGCTTCAGAAAAATGGAGGAAGATTGGAATAGAACAATTAGATTTCAGATCCTAACCAAAATTGACATTTCAATCACAACCAAACGCTTAGAGTTATCAAGTGGTATCAGCTGTGGCCTGTAAGATCTGTTAGTCACTTCAAGCTAGCAAAATCAGAATAAGAATGTAGTTTTTGACCATGTTTCAAAAGATCATACAGTCCCAATCAAACATTATAAGGATCCCCGTAATTCCTAGCTCTTTCTTCACGAACTTGGAATAATGTCAAACACCCCACAGATTGCAAGTCAGTCTAGGTGATTTCACAGTGACAATAAACTGTGAATATGAAAGCCAATAACGAATCAGGAAAAGAAAAGCTCTCTGTTGGATTTGAAAGCAAGTTTTTCAACAATGGTGATATCAAGAATTCAAAACCTCTATTTATAAATATTTATTTCTATTTCCTTCCAACAACTGAGCCATAGAAAAAAAAAGCTGTTTTATAGAGATTTCATAAGAGTAGGAAACAAGCCATATCTCAAAAATATAGAGCCAATAATTGCTCTACCAAGTTCTCTTAAAAAGGAATTGATCTACTAAGAGACAATATTGATCTAACTGTATTCTTCCCCTGACTAATTTAAAAAACCTGGAATTTCACTCTAATAATCTGCAAAGAGATCAGCAACTGACAATTTTCTACTGCACTGTGCCCACAAAATCAGCCTTAACAGTTCACTTACTAATATTAATAGCATTCCTCAAAGAGGAAGAACTTTTCAAAGCATTGTTTTACCATGTATCTTATTCTTCAACATAAGCACAAAAACTATGTCCTGACTTGCGAGGGAAAAGAATGTGAGCGAACCCATACAAGCATCAAAAACCAGACAATAGCATTGAGACGAAATACTAACCAATCCCAACAGCAGTAACAAAACAAGGAATTATCCACAGTTGGAAAACAAACTATTAAAAAAAGCCATAAATCGGTTTCCATCCAGCTCCACATTTTCAGATCATTAGACTCGGGAACCACGACGACCACACCTTGGAGGTCAGGGTGGTATGCACAGATCGTGAAAATCTTCACGATTTGATAGCCGATTTCTTGAAGGACGAAGATAGGACGCTGACATGGCGGAGGAGTATTATTTCAAAAAAAAAAAAAAAAGAAAAACGACATGGCGGAGGAGTAGAAGATTAGGGATTTGGTTGCGGAGGAAGAGAAGGAAAAGATTTGGTGTATCTGGAGGGAAGCTTTTAGAGAGTGGTAGCTATCTCTATGTTGGAGGATGCTTTGTTTCGAGAGGAGGGTGAATGATTTCAGTGGTTGGACATGGAATACTCTGCAGTGAGGATATTCTAGCTAGAAAACCCATAAAATCAAAATAATCTTTCATATATTCAGAGAAAAAGATAACACTCAATCCAAAATGAAAGAGTAACGGATGCTGCGAGATCAATTAACCAAAAAGCATCCAACCCAAAAGCAAAAACCATCCAATAATAAACTGTAGAAATGAGTTAAGCACCATAGTTCCAAAGACAATAGT